GGAGGAGGAAATGGGCCAAGAGGATTTTCCTCCTCCACCGTTCCCCCTCCTCTCGCCTCCTTTAGGGCTCCGATTGGCAGGCCCAACTGTTGCGTTCCCAAATGTGTTGTTTTCCTGTCACCCGTAATTCCTCGAGAGGTAATCATGAGTTCTTTGTGTCGCGTGAATAATGACTAAAAACACCTCGCTGCGTAATTATCAACTCTTCGTAACGAAAACAGGCCATCGCTCTTGCGCATGGATGCGCGCGCACGCCGACGGCAGCTTGCATTATGCATTCAATAAATCAGTTGGCTTTTCGGTGGGTGTCGGCCAGCCTGGCGCAGTGAAGTGAAGCTTGCTATAGGGGGCGTCTGCATGCGTTGCAACAGAGTCGAACCAGACAAAGCTGCAGACAGTCAGCCAGCCATCCGGCCGGCCGGTAGTCAGTCGGTTGTCAAGTCCCTATGACGACCTCGGTGATGGCCTTTGTGCGCTGGTCGCTGTGGTACTGATGGCACACGCGCAGTCTCGCCCCTGTTTACTCCGGAGTGTATCGAGCACTGCGGTTGCTACTCCTGCCCTCCCCCGTGATGAATGGAACCGTATGCGAGAATCCCCAGCCGCCCCCCCCCCGGCCCCTTCCACGGTGGGATACCTCCGAGCCGTAAGACCTGCCCTACAACCAGCCTCCCATCACTCAGCCTCTCAAGTCTTCCGGCAGTCGCCTGCTGTTGTTAATTGGAATCTCGCCTATGCTTGGGGGACTGGTCAGAGTTGTGGGTCGTGAAGACGCACAAGTTGCAAAATCCCTGGTCCCTAGAGCGTAGTTTTGCGAAACACATATTGAACGCAATGGGTTGTGGTGAAACCAACAAACCGCTCCACAATGACTCGTTGGAGGTCTTTGGGGGATGGGGGGCCTGCAAGATGGTGGAACTTTGTCTGTGCGGTTAGGAAGTCGCCGACTGCGCTGCAAAAGGCGTGATCATCAGGGTGAATAGACTGCCCCGTTGGTTGCGGATTTAGTCAAGTTATTGAACTCAGATTCCTTTCTTTTCAAAGCAAAACAAAGGCAGTCTTTCGTATGTATAACAGTACATCCCGTCAGGGTTCTAAGCAGAGCATGCTAGCTTGCAAAAAAGACAACTTCTCAATAATCCAAATGAGTGGGGATTACGTTAACTCTCCTCCCAAGGAACCTCTATGTTGTCAAAGTGGGAAGTCAAATTCCACCTTTAGGAATCAACTACCCAAGGTTTCCATGTTGTGAATACAGCGAAAGAAGTCTTCTTTCTTTTGAAGCCTCGATTTGCAAAGTTGGGAAATTTTATGCCCTGGCAAGAGGTGATAATCCCACAAGAAATCTTTTTTTTACCATATCCGCTATTTCCCCGGCACAAACCAATATTTCAAAAAAGGTTAACCAGCAAGAGACCACTTTAACTTTTGAGCGTATGGCAAGATACGTGCTGCGTGGTCTAGCATCTGTTAATCCGACACAACATCATCGGTTTATTGGCTATACAGTCTCCTTCTATTGTATTTGCAACCATGGAAGGAAGTCAGTAGGGATAGTTTATGTGGTCCCCTTGTTAAGACACGGGAATAGGAACCACCCGTAGCACAGGCAGCTCGGGGGTCGGTATCTTTCGTGGAATTTAGCACAAGTCCATCCTGTCCCGGGGGGAGGAGGGGGAAGCACATGAACGATCCCTAGGACGAAGTCTGAAAGAATGCAAAGATATAACGAAAATGGTTGCGGTATGAGGTGAAACGTGTGTTTTTGTCGCTTGCTGCAAAAAAATGCACGTACCCGTCAAGGAAGTGCATAAGCTTGCACTGACTTTACTTTGGAAGATGAAATACATGAACATTCGTCTGTAAAATACCCGGCTGAATCCCTCTTCGACGAGAAACTTTTTAGTTTTTTTTGTGTTTTTCACCTATCTGGAGTTTGCTGTCTTTCCAACGGCTGATGCAACTCGGCTGGTTTCAGTTTGGTTAAAAACTTTATATTAATTTAGGTATGTTTCACGAACTACGTCATATACTGTATGCCGCAGTAAACAGAAAATAAACACCATGCAATGACAAGGTTGGGGGCTTAATTAAACAGTTTTCAATAAAAATGACCGATCAAGCTTATTTAAAACGCCACTGGGTTGGGCTCAGGTGTCCCTACCCTAAATTCCAGCGGATAAGTTAGTGGTAAGGATTAGGTATTCGCTCCGGCTATGCATATGCTAAAACTGGGACAATATAGAGAAGACTAACATAGCCTCTGCACAAGGATGACAAGGAAAATCGTGAAGCGTTTCATATTTTTTAATTTCGCCTACAACGGGCCACGCAGACGTTTAGTTGGACCAACCGAGGGACCAGATCAGGATCCGGCACGCGTCGTTGGGCTGAGCAGCACCAACAACAAGTGCCTATATGGGGTTATGATGTCACGCCTAGGCGCAGGCTCGCGCCGCGCCGGCCATGTGCGCTCGATCTCGCCTTCCGTCTTCTTGGCTCTGCCTTGACACCGGGCCCAGGTGGATTAGGGAGGACGGAAGGAGGTAGATGCTGCGCAAGTCCATCAGCCCTATAAACGAGTTCAGGCACAAGTCACCGTCGATTGGGCACACAGTGGACATCATCGGAAACGACGGTCGAACCGTCAAATGGGCAAGTTTTAGGTTAGTTTAGGGTAGCCTTCTATAAGTCCTGACTAACAGTAAGTTTGACCCTTTACAGCTTAACTGTAATACTAAATAAGTCATTTTGGGGATTATGACTTCTAGTGCCGCAAGTCTACTGGGATATTTTATTTTCTCATGTTAATACAGTCATACAGG